TTGTTCGGCCCTCGCGACATTACCGCCTTCAAGGTGGGGTGTCTCGCCGGCCAAAGTAAATAGGCTCTGTGCGAGGGGAGACTCCTCCCCTGCAGAGCCTAGGGCTTGGGATGTCCTGGACAAAGACCTTGAATCCCGGCCCAGGACCAACGTCCGACTAAGAAAGCCTTAAGACGCAAATGGGCAGAAGGGAGGGTCTTCCCTACCCCTCAACCTCAACCTTTAAACGGGATTTTAACACGGGCCTCTTAGGCCTCTTAAATATTCATCACAAGCACACCCACGCATACACGCATACCGCCTTCAATAGGGATGGGACGATCACTTCTCATAGGGACAGTGAGACTCCTCACAACCATGTATATGTATATGGAATCACGGGCAATCCAAATTCAAAATCCGAGCCACATGACATACCTGCAATCACACCAAAAATCAAACGACAACACGCCCTACACGGAGTCAACCCCAACCATTCTCTATGCTCATACCCCCTTCGCTTTAGCCATGCAAGCCCCAACCACCGATCCAGCCAACCCCAATTAAATACTCAGTACCTTTGTTAAATGGCCATTCAATAGAAGTACGGGTGAAACCCTTAACAAACAGTAAAACCACCAGGGCTAAAGCCTTTTACGTTGAGTATGGAGAGTGGGTTGGAATTGAGCCGAAGACCGACGAATCGGCAACCGACATGTTATCAGTGATAACAGAAGGTGATCCTCGAGGGGTCAAGCTGAGTCTAGTTCTGATCTTGAATCAGACACCCCAAAGGACCTGTAGCACAAGATAGGTCAAATGCCCAAGCTAAATCATCAGCATATGGGGGATAAACCTCCATAGCACATTTTTACTCAAAGCTACCTGCCAACTAAGTTCAAGCCTGCCTCTAAGCCAGTGCCCAAGCAAAGGTAGACTAATGGCTGAATCTCCCCTACTCAGGGTGGATTGCCAGAATCCCCACCTGTCAAAATATAATCTAACTCTTCTAATTCAAGAAAATTTCGCCAGCACTTCTCGTAGGAAAAATGTCTTTTCAGAATTTATACAAGCTCAAATATCAAAAGCCGGCGTAATCTACAATTCTTGGAAGTCAGACTTTGTCTAACTCCCTGAATTAGTAGAAATTTTGGCAGCACCCCCTTTGGAATTGGGGATTTCCCAAATTTATACCAGGTCAACTTTGAACCCAGCTCCCAACTTTGAGTTTAACTTAGACAAAATCAGACTTACCCCTTAGTTTTGCAGAAATTTCGGCAACACTCCCCTTAGAAAAGTGCTTTCCCAAAATTTATACAAAACTAAGTTTAGGGCTTAAGACTAACCTTGACTTCTCAAAGTCCAATTTTGTTTAACTCCCTGAATTAGCAAAAATTTGGGCAGCACTCCCCTTAGAAAAGGAGATTTTTCAAATTTTTACAAAGTCAGATATACAGAAAAGGCAAGTTGAACATTGACAAGTCAAAATTTGTCTTACTCCTTGAATCTGTAAAACATTTCGGCAGCGCTTCCCGTAGGAAAAGTAGCTTACCAAAATTTATACAAACTCAAGTATACAACGAGTCTCAGAAAATACGAGAATCGATCTAAGTAAAATAAAGTCAACTCAGGAAATGCAGGAATTAATCTAGCTCCTATCGCTCTAGCACGTGGCGAGCCTCTAAAGCAACTACCTGTCAACCTGAAACCCAGACCAAGTAGTAATCTCACTCAGCCACATGCAAGCCAAGCCACAAAGGTAAGTACTCTCACCAGCCCCAAGCTCCTTTAACAAACAATAGTTCATGCTTCCTCAGTAAGTTACCCCTTTATACCCAACTTACATAAGGCATAGGTCAGGGCACCTAAACTTACAGACCGTGCCCAACTTAGCCACGTCCAAAGTCAGAATACCTAAACTTATAGAGCGTTCTGACTTGGCCAGGTATACACAAACAGAGAGCACAACTACTTCTCTCTTCTTTGGGCGTATGACTAGATCACTCTAGTCGTCCTGAACTGTTTAAATAGCCAAATTATATATACCTCTCTGAACTTAATCTTCAAAGGGGACATAAGGCTGAGCCGCTCAACTTAGAACACTGCTCAGCCTGCCCAGGTTTACCTTCAGTTATACCTCATAATTATACTCTCTTCAATTATGATAAGCTATAACCAGACTACCTTAACTTATAGAGCGGCCTGACTAGCCTGTTCTCAATAGCATAGTAATATAGTACAATCAAATTATATCCATTGGGTTCCACCATGTGCGAGGCATTGGGTCAGACTACCTAAACTTATAGAGCGGTCTGATCCTCTGCCATGTTCTTTCTTCTCTGGTCTAGTCTGTGCGAGGCAGTGAGACAGGCTACCTAAACTTATAGAGCGGTCTGCCTCCTGCCAGAGTTATTCCCTCAGAATAAAAACAGGGGAAGGGTTGAACCACCTTAACTTATAGAACGGTTCAGACCTCCTCGTTCAGAACCAAAGAAACTGAAAGAACCCCAAGTAAAACGAGGCAACCGAAGGTACCTAAACTTATAGAGCGCCTTGGGTCCCTGAAAGTCACCCACAATCCAACCCTCACAAGTCAGAGCAGTCAGGTCACCTAAACTTATAGAGTTTCCTGACTCTCCATACAGCTCACAGCATTGGGTCTCCCCAAACTTATGAGGACATCCGAGCCTCCAGGGCTTCAGGCTACCTAAACTTATAGAGCGGCCTGAGGCTCCATGCAATCCAAAAATAAACAAAGCGTTGGGCTTCCCCAAACTTAAGGGGACCTCCCAGCCTTAGTGACCCAGTCAATCTGCACACAATACTGCCTTCCTCCCAACCTTCCCCCAGATGCAACCCATTTCCTTCACAATCTGCTTTCAAACAATCAACAAACTGAAACTGAGATTTGCCCATACATTCCTTTACTTCAATCTGACTTACGTCCTGCAAGTCAAGCTCAGAGCCAAGTACAGGATCCACACAATCCACTCAGTCAAACGTAGAGAGATGTACAGGTAGGGGTTATAGTTGGGTCTATAGAGGGAGTCAAGGGATTACCACTCAGTTCCCTGCCTCCAGGACTCCGCCTGAGCCCCAGCAGAGCTTCCGCAATCGGTGGGGCAACCTCCTACAGAGGCCTTGGCGCGGGTTACGGGCCACCCGCCCGCCTGCCGCCTTCCTCTCAGAGGCAAAGGAGTAGACTCAGAGTAAGAAGAAGAGCAGAAAGAGAAAGTCCGAGACTCTCAGATCCAAGGGAGATGCACTCAGGCTCGCGTGAGAGGGTTTTTAAGCCTTCAGCGCCTGAGGGTCCCACAATGATGGCCAAAAATGTGACAGCTTGGTCAATCCTTCATTCAAACTGCCAAGTCTAAATCCCCTGAGAACTCTCCAAGTTTGCAGCAATGGACCCACCCTGCTTTCAGAGTCTCGCCCCTTCCCTGAGCCTTTCCGCCATAGCGCCACAGGTTGCACTAGTCAGCGGCAATCGATCAACAGGTGCTAGCAAGTGGCCTCCACCCGCCGGTCACAGCCCACAGGCAGCTATAAGCAGCAGCAGCCCACAGTCGGCAGGAACAATCCAAATACGGTTCGCGGTAACAGCGAGCAGCCGCTGCGCAGTCCTTGGCAACCGTAGCCGACTGCTCGTAGTAACAGTTCACACCGTTAACAACAGCTGTTGCGGTATGTAGTAGCACCCAGCAACCACCAGGAGCAGCCACGCACCCACCATTACCAGCGGTATAGATCTGCAGTCGCCGCCATGCGGCAGTAGCCACAGCCTGTAGCAATCTGCAGCCCTCGCCCCCAGTCCACTGGTACAGCCACAGCGCAGTTCTACTATAACTTGTCTCTCGGCCTTTAGCATTTAACCCCCCCCCTCGCGGCTCGCTACCTTACTCCAAATCATACAACCGATCGGCCACGCACGGCCAGGTAAGTCCTCCTTTACCCCCCTCCGAATGCAGCTGGCCACCCGTCCTGGTCAGATCCTTACCACTCCCTGCGATGCCTCTACTCCGTGCCTCCTGCAATCGCGGATTGCGTCCCTACGGGTAAGCACCTACCCTCGCTGCTTGCCCCTGTGCCTACACCCCTCTCCTAGCTCATTGCGGCAATGCACCCGCCTGTCTGGTGTGACTAGGTTCATGCAAAGCTCTCGGGAGGTCGTGCAATCCAAGGTGAATTCTCCCCCACTTCCTTTCGTTTTCGAATGCACCTAGCGCGAAACCGCGTCTAGGTTTGTCCGGACCTCTTTCCTTTACTAACTCTACTCCCACTTTCTTCTCACTAATGCTAACTTCAAGGTCGGAGTCGTCTATGAGTCGAATCTCCGTTGAGCTCCTCCACTCGCTCGATCTTGTTACAATCGGATGGGAAGTTCGCTTTCCTTCTCCCTGCCATAGTTCCTCCCGCCATTTCCTCACGCAAACCTTCTTTTCTCTAACTTCTCATTCTGTTATCCCTCTGCCAGAACTAACCGCCCAAGCTACCCGGCGACTCAAGGCCAGCCTGTGGCCCAACCGCCGCCCTCCCAGCAGGCCTCGCAAGCTAGTGTGGCCGGGGGAGGGAGTCAGGGACAAGGCGGGCAAGGCAATGGGGGCAGGGGCCAAGGGGGTCGAGGAGGGGGTGGCCGGGGGCGAGGAGGAAATGGGGGAGGCCGTGGAGGAGGTTGGAGTGGTCAGGGGGGTCAAAACCAAGGCAGCCAAGGTAGTCAGGAGGGGGGCCAAGGGTACGGGAGGCCCCGCTTCGATTGGAGGAATGCAACTTGTTGGCATAGGGACAAGGCGGGCAAGGCAATGGGGGCAGGGGCCAAGGGGGTCGAGGAGGGGGTGGCCGGGGGCGAGAAGGAAATGGGGGAGGCCGTGGAGGAGGTTGGAGTGGTCAGGGGGGTCAAAACCAAGGCAGCCAAGGTAGTCAGGAGGGGGGCCAAGGGTACGGGAGGCCCCGCTTCGATTGGAGGAATGCAACTTGTTGGCATTGTGGCGAGGTGGGCCACACTATACGGTTCTGTCAACAACGGCGGGATGATGAGCTAGCGGGACTGATTTCCTCATGTATGGACGGGGACATATACGATAGGTGGGGGAAGCACATCGATCCCAAGACCCCGGGAGGAATCAGGCAGGAAGCCCTCAGGCGAGTGGCGGCAGGGCCGCTATCCGCCCCGACAATGTTTAGAATATGGCAAGAAAGGGAGGATCCGGGCGTGAAAGTCGAGGAGATTGTGGATGAAAACGAGAAGGTGACTCAACGACTAAAGGCGGGGACTATAAAGGAAGAACCTATCGTCGTTGAGTCGAATGACGAGGGGGTGGAGGTGGTGAGAGAGTCCGCCTCGACCATCCTGGAAAGGATGGAGGACCTGCTTGCAAAGGTCGGTGGGTATCAGGAACGATTGAGGGTGATGTGCGGAGAGGCTCGGGAGTGGGAAATGAACCTTCCTGAAGTAATGCTCTATGGGTCCGGCCCGGAGTCATCATCAGGACCACAAGGGTGTCCAAGCGTAGCGACGGCCGGGGCAGGTCCTAGGTCAGGGATGACCTTCAGACCCCCTACGTCACATGGAAGGGTGCCACATGCCGTGTAAACCAGGGGCCAAAGCAAGCCTACCGCTAGTCAAGGGCCCAGCCAGGCACCTAGTCGGGCACCTCCTCGAAGGGAACCTAAGCCTGAACGAAAGAAAGAAGTGGTGGAGGTTCAGGGGGAGGAAGAGGAGGAGGATGACGAAGAGGATGAGAGGCTCCGACAGGAGGAGGATCAGCGAGCCGAGCAGAGGACCAAGAAGAGAGGAATTCAGGGAGGGGCGGAGACGAGCCTGCATGACGGCGCGCCAAAAAAGAAGAAGTACGCGGTCCGACTGGAGGAGGGTTTTGACGTGGAGCGAATGGTGGACAAACTCCTGGAAGGTCACAATGACTTGATGAATTTAAAAGACATCTTTGCGTCAGCACCAAGGCTCCGTGGTGAGTTGAAAGGGCGGCTCTCACAAAGGTTAGTGCCCAACGTCCACCTGAGCTCAATTCTGCCCAGGGAGATAAAGTGGACGGAGGCGGGCACCAGGATGGATTGGAAATGTGTGGCATGTGGGTTGGTGGATTTGAAGGTGAGAGAGCAGCCGAGCATCGCAATGGTGGACATGGGCGTTGAGATGGAAACCATCCGGGAGCGGGACGCGACCATGCTAGGGCTGGAGGTTGACCATTCGGACCATGGTGTGCTGCACGTGCCAACTGTAAGGCAATTTTTTGCAGCATCGCGTCTAAAGTGATGGTGGAAATTGGGAGGGTAAGGGCGCGAACGAGCTTCTTCGTCATGCCCGATGTCGACCACCCTATCCTTCTGGGGAGGTTGTTTCTCTGCCGAACGGAGACCTTGGTCTTCAATAGGCATGAGGGGACGATGATCCTGGCCCTATCTGATCCGGCCTACGGGAACTACGAAATCATCAAGTGCTGGAACAAAGGGCCCGGAAGTGGTAGGAATAGGCTCAACCTCGGCTCCTTTACCTTCGAGGAGTCGGAGTACGCGCAATGAAGACTCCGGGAGGAACAAGAGGAGGAAGGAGCGGGCGAGGTATTGTCCCTGAGCCTCAACGATGTAACTAAGGCAATGGAGGTGGTGACGGCGCATGATATGGCGGACCCTGAAGCTATAAAGGCATTGAGGGAGCAGGTCCTGGAAAACCCTCAAGTGGGAGAAGTGGAACTGATCTATCGGCTTTCAGGAAGGAAAGGGGACCCTGCGATGGCCCAGGCCCGAACGATAAGCCAGCCTTTTTTAGGGGAGGGCTTAAGCAGGGCTCCCAAAGGCGGTACAAGACCATAGACAAGAAGTGCTGCCCAGTCCCCGTGCTTGTTACGGAGGATGAAGAGGCCTATTATGAGCGGGAGCGGGGACTGATCAAACGAATGCGGGAGCGTGCGCAAGCAGGGTCGTATCGAATAAATGATGGGAATGAAGAGGAGTTGGTAATTGGCGAGTCTGACTTCCTTTCGCCCCAGGAGAGGACCTTGATGGTGGGGACCATGAAGAGGAGGCATTGCGCATATGCGTTTAACGATGACGAGCGTGGGAGGTTGGACGTGGATAAGATCCCAATGATACGAATCCATACCGTCCCACACGAACCATGGAATCTGAGGGGCGCGCGATACCCGAATCCAGATGAAGAGAAGAAGGTGGTGGACTACCTGGACGGGAAGATGCGGACATACGTGGCAGACTATTCCAGTGGACCGTATGCCTCCCCTTGGTTTTGTTTTATCAAGCCGAACGGGACGCTACGGTGGGTGCAGGATTTGCAACGATTGAATGCAGTGACGGTGCGGGTCACGAGAAGATTGCCGAACGCGGACGCCCTGTCAGAGTCATGCGCAGGAAGGCCTATAATCGCACTTATAGACCTTTATTCTGGGTATGACCAGTTTCCTGTATACCCGCCGGATAGGCCAGTGACGACAATGCTTACGCCAAGGGGGCTGATCCACATGAACGTGGCCCCTCAGGGGTGGACTAATGTGGTGGCGATGGTGCAAAGGCACATAATTAGGGCCATGCAAACGGTTAGTCCACATATTACCCAGCCCTACATTGACGATCTGGCAGTCAAGGGTCCAAAAGAGAAGGAGGAAGACGAAGTGATGCCCGGAGTGAAGCGGTTCGTCTGGAAACACATCTAGGATATCGACCAGGTTCTGGGTCTGTTGGAGGAGCACAACTTGACGGCGAGCAGCCCCAAGTCGAAGCACTGTATGAGGGAGGCCACGATTCTAGGTTTTGTCTGCAATGAGAAGGGGCGGAGGCCAGATGTGAAAAAAACGGACAAGATCCTAGAGTTGTCAGTCCCCTTTCAGTCAATAACGGACGTGAGGAGTTTCCTTGGGACCTGTGGCTTTTGGAGGAGTTTTGTGAAGGACTTCGCCACCAAGACGGAGCATTTGAGGAAGCTGGTGCGTCAGGATTAGGAATGGGTCTGGGGCGAAGCCTAGGAAAAGGTTGTGGAAAGAATGAAGAGAGAGTTCAGGGAAGGAGGCTTGGTGCTTGGAGCGCCAAATTATGAAGCTACGGAGGAAAAGTCATTCGTTGTCGAGACGAACTCTGTGCCAACTGCCTTGGGAGGGGTCCTGATTCAGGCAGATGCAGATGGGAAGGAGAGGCCGCTAAGGTTTGAAAGTCGTACTCTCAATACGACTGAGAGAAACTATTCGCAGTTTAAGAAGGAGACGCTGACGGTACTCCATTGCCTGAGGACCTTCCGGAACTATATCTTTGGCAGGAGACTCATTTTGAGGGTGGACCCTACTGCGCTTGCGCGTTCCCTAAATAGTTATACTCCATCTGACCCAACCATCACAAGGTGGTTGACTTACATTTGGATGTTTAACTTTGAGTTGGAGAGGATTCCAGGGGACAAGAACAGGGCGGATGAGGGCGGATGGGCTGAGCCATATCAATGAGGATGGGGCAAGCCAGGAGTCAATTGAGGATACCCCACCAGTCGACGGGTTCTTGGACCAGGAGGAGGATGTCCGCCTCCACATAAATGAATGGTCGTTGAGGGTGCCTAGCTGCGTCACGCATCCCATATGGCTAGCGCCAAGGGGGTACGAGCGAAAGGAGGAGTTGGTCCTCAAGCCCTTCCAGAAAGAAGATCCGTGGGGGAGTAGGGATGTTGGCTGGATGATGAAGTTGGCATTGGCGGGTACACATAGTCTGGCAGAGGAAGTGAGGACGATAGAGGAAGGCCCAACCCAGGTAGAGGAGCGTGAGCAATTAATGGGAGGGATGTACTTGCTCACTAATACGCTCCTGCAGGGGAACTTTATCCAGAGGGGCTCATTTGGTCCTGAGGAGAGGGAACTTCTTGTTCCTGAAAGTCAGGATGATGAGTTCGAAGAGGGAGAGATCAAGGAGGCGTTTCGCGCAGAAGAGTATAACGGGATCTATCGGGAATTGGGGTTACTCCGGTCATGCGAGATAAGGGAAAGGGACGCAAGTGCCAAAGCCCAGAAGGTGAGGCATCTCTACGTAGTAAGAAATGGCCACCTGTTTATAAAGCGGCAGGTTGGAAACCCCAAGAGGATCGTATGCGGGAGGAATCGGCAGATCGATGTCATAGCAGCCTTACACGATGGTATAGCAGGGGGGCACAAAGGGGTTAGTGCCACGTGCACAAAAATAAGAGAGTTATACCATTGGGGGGAAATGCTGACTATGGTCATCAAGTACTGCCAGTCCTGTGTACCTTGCCAGCAGAGGTCAGCACAAAGGCCTGGGAAGCCTTTGCACCCCAGGTTGGAAAGGGAAGTGGGTGCATTCGTGCACCTGGACCTGTTGTTCATGCCACTCGGGGAGGATGGAAGTAACTATATCTTCGACGCACGAGATAACCTTACCGGGTTCGTGGACGGTCGGGCTATTCATACAAAAACTGACCTAGTTTTAGCAAGGTGCATCGAAGAATACTACCTGCGCTATCCGTTTGTCAGAGAGTTTGTGATGGACCGGGGGTCGGAGTTCACCTGTACCGAGGTGCGGACCTTACTTGCGGGGTATGGCGTGGTAGCGAATTATACTACTGCCGCGCACCCCCAGGCGAACGCACCTTTGGAAAGAGGGCATAGTACCATCACAAATCTCCTGGCCAAGTGGACTGAGGGGAGGCCTAACCAGTGGCGGAAATTCTTGAGAGCAGCTTTCTTCGTGGAAAATGTTACAGTGAAAAGGACAACTAAGTATGCGCCAGCCACACTATGGTACGGAAGGCATGCCATCTTTCCCATAGAAAGTTTCATGAAGACGTGGAGGCGCCAGGACCTGGAAGTGAACCTGCCTTTTGAAGAACTGCTCGATATTCGGGCGTGGCAGGTGGGAGCTGCTGAGGAAAGGTTGCGAGAAGTCGTTGGTCAGGTAGAGAGAAGCCACATGGAAGACAAGATGAGATGGGACCAGATGGCCCGGGTAAGAAAGGATCCGTTGAAAGTTGGGGATGCGGTGCTACTATATGACTCCTCGCTGGAGAAACAATGGTCTAGGAAACTCGACAAGCGGTGGCTGGGACCCTATAGGATCGTACGGTGTGGCGAGTTTGGGGCCTACCAAATTGAAGAGCTGGATGGGGCGGGGTGGCAGAACTGGGTATCAGGGGGAAGGCTGAAGAAGTTCATGGCCAGGGAATAGGTAAGGGGCCATGAGACCTCGTTAGAAATAGAGTCTTGCCCAGGGTATTACCCATGTCAGGTGTTTGGGTAGGACGGGTGATTGGGATGAATAGGTGTGGAGAGTATGTGGGATTTTCCTAAGCCAATGGGCTCAGTTGCTGACCTATTGTGTGCCTGTCTGCTATCTCTCGCCTGTTGTGCAGATCTGACTTTTCGAAGGCAGTCATACAGAGGGGCGAGAGGGACACACGACCACGGCAGAGGCCCCAGAGGGCAGCGGGAAGAGGCGAGCAGCATGAGCCGCCTAGGAGGGAGCCTACGCCTGAGTTCGACGATGATAATATAGAGCTCTTCCTGGACGTGTATCTGGATCATGCGGCACAGAGAGGGTGGCCAGTGGCGGAGAGGATCCACCACTTGAGGGGTATAGGGCAGTTTGAGGAGCCTGTCGCTCAGATATGTGAGGAGGCCCTGACTTGGCCGGATGTGGAGGCCGGGATGCAGAGGTTGAGAGCTTCCCCTAGAGGGCGCGATGGCATGCCCGTTCAATTGGAGGAGGGGAATGCGGAGGAGTTTATTCCCGCGTATGAGCATTATATGCTGAGTCAGGGGATCGCGCAGGAGGAGTGGGTGTCGGCCCTACTTATTTGGACTAGGGGGGCAGAGAGGCCGGTGGCTAGGCAGATTCGGGAAAGAGCTCGAGACTGGGAGGACTGCCAGGCCCAGCTCAGGAGGGCGTTCGGATAGCCAGAATGTGAGAGGCCCGAGCCTAGGGTCGAGAGGCGGAGGCGAAGCAAGAGGCCAAGGGAACCAGCGCCGAGAGAGGCGGGGCTGACTAGAGAGGGGAAGAGGGCCCCAGTATAGCGAGGGGATGAGCCCGCAGGGCCCGCACCGAAAGAGGAGTCGTTCCCTGCTTGTGGACTCCGGACAGTTGAGTTTCGGCGGATTACGAGCGAGGAATTGAGGCCGCCTTCGCCATCGCCTCCAAGGCGGGAGATGAACATACCAGGAGAGACACCATTCCAGAGCTTAGCGACTCACCTTGATGTATCTCGACGGGAGGCCGCACGATTGGGGGAGGGCTCAGTTGAGCCGACGTGCTATGTGCCGTTGGAGGAGCCTTTGGACCCCGAGACGGAGACAGCCATGCGAGACCGAGAGGAGCCGCGGGATCCTGAGATGGCAGCTGAGCAGCCAGATCCGGTACGGCCTCTGGATGAGGAGGTGATCATGGTCGGAGACGATACCCCTCCATGCTCCCCAGCTCCAGAGCCAGCACAACATTCATGGCCAGAGGGGATTCCTGAGCCAGGCAGCGAGGAGATTCCGGAGTTTCCCCCAGAAACCACTGCGGTGCCTGAGCAGGAGGCAGAGATGGAGAAGCAGGGGGCGGGTGGGGGAGTGGAGATGGAGGCGATTCAAGATTCACCTTCAGTCATGCCCGCGACCGAGCGCCCACCTATCAGGGAGCCTGCACTGGAGGGGCTACCGCCGGCATTGCCGAGTACGAGCGAGAGGATGGGTGCCGAGGCGTCGACTCCGGAAGGCCAGGGGCCGCAAGTGAAGGGAGCCTTAAGAGAAACCCGCGAGGAGAAGTCCGCCAGAGTGCGAGTCCATTTGGACGAGATACACACAAGGCAGGCTGAGATGGAGGCGGCAGGGATAGAGCCGACGCCGCCGGTCGATCCCAAAACGAGTGAGCAGCGGATCGACGAGTTGGGGGCCAGAGGGACGCAGCCCGCCAGGGGTCACGAGAGGCGGGGCAGGCGGACGTGGATGCGGGTGAGCTGAGGAAGATAGGGGACTTGGGGTTCGCTATGACTAGGATGGCGATTGAGCGTGTGGACAGAAAGATATGTGAGACGGCAGTTACATCCTTCTAGTGGTATAGCTTACTCAGCGGTGAGCTCAGGGTCAGAGACTTGGAGGTGGAGCACCTGACTACTCAGCTTGCCGAGGAGAGGGCGAGGAGCCAGGCTAGAGAAGTTGAGTAGGAGAGGCGATTTGGGGAGATGGCAGCCATTATGGACAGGCTCTCGGCAGCTTGGGAGGCTAGCCAGACGGGACGAGTCGGTGCCGATGGCCAGGGCCGAGGGATGCGGGCTTCGCCAAGCCAGGGAGCAGCGGTGGAGGCCCCTCGGCGAGCTGGGCCAATGGGGGAGGTGCCTCTGGACACGGCCGAAGAGGAGGGTGGCGCCCACGAGTCACTCATGGCGATGTCCACGGAGAGAAGAGGTTCACGTTTGCATGAGTTGGCAGCAGTCATGGGGATAGGTACTCCACAGGAGGGGCCTCAGAGGCCTGATGCCCCAGGCTACGCCCCAGAGCTGGGAGAATTGAGGGCGGGGTTGGCCTCCTGGGCCACAGGGACGGACTCAGGAGGACCTGACTCAGGGCAGTAGCAGCAACAGGAGGTCTTGAGTGAGCCAGCCGCCGTGACGGGCTCTCAGCAGTCAGGATCATGTGGGGATGAGATGGTGGTTGTGATAAAGAGGCCTTATGAGGAGAGACCCCGAGAGTTGGACACGCCAGACTGCAGGCCAGTGAGCACAGTCGTACGAGAGGGTGAGGGTGTTGAGGCTATGGAGCCCTGAACCTCAGGGCCATATGGGATCGCCCTCGTGTCATGAGGTGACCACCGAGACCATGGGGACACCTTCAACATCGAGTTCCCGAGGGAGAAAGAAGAAGACTGTCAGGTGGCATGACACATCCTCCTTTTGGTGCAAGAAGGAAGGGCATAGAGTCGTGGACTGCCCAGAGCTCCTCGAGGATAAGGCCGAGGGGCGGGTTGCAGAGGTCGACGGCAAGTTCTATGACAGGCAGGGCAGGATCGTGGAGCGAGCTCCAGATGGGGGCAGGGCTCAGTTATATAGACAGAACCAGAAGGAATTGTGTGAGTCGGGGCTGGTCTGTCTATGTGTCAGTAGGACCAGGGTATTTGGCACACAAGGGGGCGGGATGGAGGTGTACGTATGTTGAGTTGACTGAGGGGCCCCTAGGTGTGTGCATACTTTAGGGGTAGTAGGATGAGTCCCTGCCGGATTGTACATACTTAGTTGACTGTGTTTTTCTTGGGTTCTTTTATAAGCCACAGCCTAGGAAATGGGGTACGGTCGTGGGACACTTGAGGCTAGTTAGGTACATTTGGGTTGTGATGCAGAGACTATTTGCGTTTGAGAGAGACGCAGGTGTGAGTTCCCCAATAGAGTGAGACAGGGGTTAAACACCCGTTAGATTTTTGGTAGATGTTGTGTCCCGAGCGGGTTCTGCGAGTGTACAGTGGGGTCGGGAACCATCCTCAGACGGAGTTGAGTGTTTGTGTTTGAGTCTTGAGGGAGGAATTGTACTCCCTGAGTGTATCATGAGTTGAGATTCTATGGGACTTGTATTGTGACAACCACTATCACTCTCACATGAGTGGCTTTATCTTGATGTATGATTGGCTTTGTGTGAGGGATGTACAGGATACATCTCATGGGCATGATTGTGTAAACTATACAGCTGTCTACCCTCCGGTATACTCGGGCGGTCTGCTTGCAAGCGGACGAGAGGGCAGAGTATAAGGAGGGGGAGTGCAGCCTGTTTGTGAAAAATTGTGAGAATCCTACGGGATTGATGGATTCAGAAATTTGCATGCTCGGTCCTACTAAACACCGTTGTCTGAGTCGTACAAAGACCCAAAAGATGGTCCCTCAGTTTGAGTTGTTTGGTAGTTAAGAACCCCTTCATGGTTCTGGAAGGCGGGAATTGTGTTATTGTTGGGGCCCCTTCATGGTTTTGGAAGAGGTCGTGCGAAAGTTCATCCCAAACAAAGAGGGGAGGGATGAACGTGAGATTTTTTGTGAAAGGCTCACTTTGCTAAGTAAGGGTGGGTAAAACTGATTGGTATGGGAAGCATTGTTTGTGTTGATAAAGCCTGACGAGAGGGAACCATGCTTGCTTGAAATGTTTGAAAAGGGCGAGAGATGCCTCAGGATGGGCGACTGCTGGCTCTGATCAAGTCAGGAGCCGCGGCCTTGTGGATTCGGCGGGGAGACCGTTTGTGATTGAGCGAAGGATGTCGTGCCTATTATAAGAGGGTCGGTAAATGCCTTCAGACCCCTGCGTAGTCCCGCAGCGATCTGTGAATTGTTTGTGAGGCCCCGTCGGGCCACCTGTGCTAATTCTCAGACATATTTAAAAGAATACCAAGCTAACGGTAAAGTTTAGTGCCACCTGGGCGCAACCCCTAGTGGATGGCTGCAAGCCGGCACAACCTGGCTGCGGGCCCGCGAGGTAAGAGTTTAAGGGGAGTTGCCCGCCCCAAAGAAATTACTCCGCGGAATAGGAGTCGAGTCTTTTGGAAAGTCCTGATTGACTGATTATCAGGAAAAATGTCTATCGTTGTATAACCAATGGGAGAATACCGCCGCTAAGGTAACAACACGGTAGGCCGTAGACCTGGCCCGATCAGCCAGGCTACGGTGGGCCCAGATGGGGACCTGGCATTTTTGTACTAGACTGCAAAAAAGGCCGAGAGAGGCTACAAGCTTATACAAATGTATTTTGTTTGATTGTGAGGAAATTGTTGGAAGAAGGCAAAGAATGCCTTCATAGGTCCCATTCGAAGCCCGCGTCCCTAGTTATGGCTTTGCTTACGAGAAAGAGGCTAACTGGGACACCCAACGAGAGGCCGACGGTTGTCTAGGACGAAAGGGGAAGAGGATGGTCTGAGGGCCTTTGGAACTTATGCTGTAGTATTGATGCGTAATACACCGGCGTCCTGGCGTCAGGACAATGGGGACCCAGGTTGAAACCCTGGCAGCATATAGTTGTGTTGGCACGGGTTGAAGGAGGCCTCAACCCTGAGTTTGTTGGCTAATCGGATTGGTTCTAATCTCGTCAGCACTTGGAATGTGAAGGAATCTAAAGCTTTTGATTTGGCAACACGACGGGGACGTCGCTTAATATGGTCCGGTAAGCTGTTGGCGCGAATACCCTTACAAGGGTATCCGCCCTGGTTTTTCCAAGTGACAGAAAGGCTTGGTTAACCTGGATCTTGAGTGCCCGTGCGGAAAAATGCGAGGGTCGCCCGCACGTGGGCAAAGGTCTGCCTTGTCCCGGTAGGGAGTACGTGGGCGCACAATTTTAAGGCGCGCGTGGGATTTTTCTGATTGATGGGTGGCCGGTGTAGCCGGCCGACCCGGACCGTGTTACGGCCTTCGATAGGGAATGAGAATTTGTTTTTGACCGGTGCGCGCGCCCAACTGGAAGGCTGGACGGCCACGCGCGGGGCGGTGGCCCGGTGTGGGCACCTAGGGGCCGTGGGTACAAATGTCGGCTGAAAAGAGTGGTCAAGGCGATATCTTCGCCCGGAGCGCCATGCGGTACCATTTTGTATGGGAAGCCGCGCCTGCAGGTCGCAGGCTTGGGCATAGCCCTATAGGTTACGGTATCGGATTACCGCTACGGAGGTTTAGGGATCGAGGCCATCGGAGTAGCGGAGCAACGGCGGGGCGCGGCAAGAGGCTTGAGGGGGCGATGGGTCTGTGGGACTATCCCCCTCGCCTTTTGCAATTACAGGGGCCGCGGCACCCGAGTGCCGTATGCGTTGCGGGGTTCTATACATCCGATTATGAATGATTTTATTTAATTTGGATTTTTGTTATTATTATTATTTTTCTTTCACGCCCGTATGGGGCACGAAACAGCGGTAAGTACACCCACGAATGGCTAAGGTGTAGACCGGTGCTTGGACTCGGATGAAGAAACCTGGTGGGTAAGGCCAAGTATCCCAGATTGCTGGGGGCCGGTTGCCTCCGCGGGCCAGGGTACGTGTCAAAAAGGGGGGGGAGCAGGGGGGAGCAGGGGCGAACCGGGGCGAACCGGGGCGAGACTAGGCACTAGGTTCGTGCGCAGAAGGGGAGAAGCGCAATAGCAGGGGTAGGCAGCAGCAGAGTGCCAGCAAGGGCTGAAAAACAAAGGCACAGTGAGCAGCAGGGAGCCGACGGAGAGGCACCCGGATGGTTCCGGCGTCGAGTACATGCGCAGGGCAGCTAGGAGGGGAACTTGATTAACCCTTGGGGGCGTGGTGGGGCGTCGGCACGTGCAAGACCCACGGGAGAAATGTAAATTGGAGGCAGTACCGGGCAGATCCGCAGCGTCAGCCGCGGAGGGGTGACATGGATCGGGCCGACCCGGTCGCCTAAAGCGCTAGTCTCCGACTGTGTCCTTCGGGGCATTCGTTAAAAATTGGAACGATATGGAAAGATTTTGAACGGCCCTGTGCAAGGATGATACATATTAATCGGGGAAAGGGGGAGCGGGCCCGAATGCTTGTTGCCTCCGTAGCTGAAGTACATGCTGGGAGTATCTGCCGGAATCCAGCCCCGAAAGAGCGCTAGATTCGTGCCCGACGTTGTAGGGCGGGGCGGCACTACGACTGCTCAGGTTGCGGAGAGGCGTGGGGCGTTGAGGTGGCCAAGGTCCCTCGGGGCATCTGTCACAACCAGAACCGTACGGGGGGAACCAGTTGGCCCGCACGTGGCGCGGGCATGTATAAAGCCAGGGTGGCGTTCCCCTTGTTGGTTTTTGGCTGTCGGAGCTCTCCGACTTGACCCGTGCGTTGTTTGAGTGTGGTAGGCCGGCCGGTTGTGGGGAGTTAGTTTTGGTTGACGACTACATGGAGGAGGAGGGGATAGCGGACGGGGAAGACGGCCGCAAGGCGAATGAACCTGGTGCCCGTTCACAGCCGAATGCGTTCGAAGGAGGAGAGTAGCGCGAGTGGGGAGTGGCTAGAGGGCGTGACTATCGGTGAGTTTGGGCGGAGAAGGAGGTGAGGTGGGGGTTTATGGCCAAGGCGACCTCGAATCCACGGTTAGTTCTGGCAGAGGGATAGCAGAATGAGAAGTTACAGAAGAAAAGGTTTGCGTAAGGAAATGGCAGGAGGAACTATGGCAGGGAGAAGGAAAGTGAACTTCCCACCCGATTGTAACAAGATCGAGCGAGTGGAGGAGCTCAACGGAGATTTGACTGATAAACGACTCCGACCTTGAAGTTAGCATTAGTGAGAAGACAGTGGGAGTAGAGTTAGTAAAGGAAAGAGGTATGGACGAACCTAGAAGCGGTTTCGCTCTAGGTGCGTTCGAAAACGAAAGGAAGAGGGGGAGAATTCACCTTGGATTGCACGACCTCCCGAGAGCTTCGCATGAACCTAGTCACACCAGACGGGCGGGTGCATTGCCGCAATGAGCTAGGAGAGGGGGGTAGGCACAGGGGCAAGCAGCGAGGGTAGGTGCTTACCCGTAGGGACGTAGTCCGCGATTGTAGGAGGCACGAAGTCGAGGCATCGCAGGGAGTGGTAAGGATCTGACCAGGACGGGTAGCCAGCTGCATTCGGAGGGGGGTAAAGGAGGACTTACCTGCCCGTGCGTGGCCGATCGGTTGTATGATTTGGAGTAAGGTAGCGAGCCGCGAGGGGGGGGGGTTAAATGCTAAAGGCCGAGAGACAAGTTATAGTAGAA